CGTCTACCAGAATAATAATTATAATAAAATATGTTTTATCCACACATCAACAATTTATATATACAAATTATTTATTTAATGGATATAATAAATATATACATATATATATATATTTATATGTTTCACCCGTCTACCAGAATAATAATTATAATAAAATATGTTTTATCCACACATCAACAATTTATATATACAAATTATTTATTTAATGGATATAATAAATATATACATATATAAATACATACACACAATAGACGAATATTGATATTTTCGGGCAATAGTATAATTTAGCTGATTATATTAAGTTTCAATCATTTCTGTACATGATAAATTAATATTATCATTTGATAAATATTAAAACAATGCATTATTGGATATTGAATTGTTCACATATAATTTATTTTTTATTATTCATATCGAAATTCTTAAATTTATAGGAATTCAGAAATTGTAAATCAATATTTATATAACAAACTTTTAGAACTGATTTCTAAATAAAGTTCAATATTATTTCTAAATTTGGTTGACAATACAGACTTCTAGAAAAGCAAAGAAGCAAAGTACGGGGTCTCGATCTTTAGATTAAGCTGAATATAAAGTTCTCCAATGGTTATCTTATCTCCTTCATGTTTACTATGTTTTCCTACACATAATCCTTCATGGTGTGGCAACTAAAAGTGTGACAACCAAGCTGCCTAGTATCATGTGTCCATGTGAGCACAAAGCACACTGAAAATCGTTATCAGTTGGTGAGTTGTGGCCCCTTTCAAAGTGTCTTCGGCTCTCCAACAACTGGCAGACATTTTTACCAAATCCTTGGATGGCTCTACCTTTCACTAGCTACTTAGGAGGGATGTTATAGTATAAAGGGTATTATAGGATATTATAATCAGTTGTTTTTAGCTGTTAAGCATGGGAGTATATGGTCTTTTCACTTCCTTAATTGTATACAGATATCTACTTTCTGTTTCTAGCCGTTGTAACTAAAACTTTTTCACTCACTTGATAATAAAATGTTGGTGAAATGCTCCCTGAAAAACTAGCATCACAGCCAATAACTGAAAAGTTGAATGTCCAAAGACCCCTCACAGTTACAATGGAAACAAACAGTGTGTATACATGGTTTTCTATATCCATAGCATAGGCATAAGCGAGATCCCTCCTTTAATTTTTTTTTTTTTTTTCTTCTCTAAAGATTGCATTTCGATAGAAACGTGGTTATTCACCATGTACGGGATCCCTATTAAGCATCTATGGTTTAATGGTTAATGCGCCCAACTCATAATTGGCAAATTCATAGGTTCAGTTCCTACTGGATGCACAGCTGTGGGGCCCTTGAGGAATTCTATTGAAAAAGGCCATTAAACACAGACCCACATTTTGTCGAGGAATGACAAGATTACATTGGGCGTCTTCATGGGTATTCTTAATCTTTTCCTACACTAAACGTCTAAAAAGCTATATAACTCTCCACATTGTCCTGGACTCTCCACAGTATCCCCTCCAGAGTAGTATCAGCTTCACTATTTCCATATGAAATTAATAATCTTGGTGAAGCTGAATAAGTACTGTAACTACTTGTTTATACTTCCAAATGGATATGACACTTGAAATATCCATAATTTCGTTTATATGATGATGTCAATTGTAAGTTGGATGAACTTGTACTAGTGAGAGTCACTAAAATACCACAATAGGAAGGATGATACAGGACAGATGACGCTCATGCAGGAGGCTGAATATTGAATTTTTATGGGTATAGTGTTCTTTATAGTGTTTGGCACTGAACTGTCTCGTTTTGATGCATTCTCCCTTTTTAATCATTTTCAAGTGTTAGAAGCATCAGATAAATTACTTAAACCGCAACTTACAGCTTTATTGACGATCTTATGCATTTTGGAGAATCCATTTCCTTGATTTCTCATGACGTTCTTGGCATTGATTGCTTTCTTGTGTAGTCTCCACCTTTTGTTCAACTTTTATAGTCATTAGACTTGTCACTCTTGATCTTTATACAGCTTGGCCGAAATCCTGCAGCGGTATCACAGGCATTTTGAAAAAGAACCAAGTCCCTCCACTGAAGCTCATGAGTCACAGGTATTCGAAACTTCTAAATGCACATAAAAGGAAATTGTTGAGGTCAATGAGAAGTTTTTCATGCAGATTTTTTATTAAAAAATAATAGGAAAAGAGAGAGAGAGAGAGAGAGAGAGAGAACCAGCCATTTAGCTTCTAACCATGTAGTAAAAACCATCTGAGCAAATGTCCTTGTTCAGAGCATATCACAACTAATGTCACATTCCGCTACCCTGGAAGCCACAGACATGATGCCACAACAAATTTACTATTTTGTTCTAGGATTTTAAACTGTTACTTTGAAACATAGTACGTTAGACTGAATGCAATTAGTGAAGACAGCATGTTTTGTGTTTGACTGATATATAACATATATGATATGTCTGATATTGGGTGCTTCCTGAATGCAATTAGTGAAGACAGCATGTTTTGTGTTCAGCTTATATATATCATATGTGATATGTCTGATATGGGTGCTCTTGCCAGTAGGCGTGAAACTAAATAATACTGTGGTATGCATCTGAAAGTGTTACAGAATTAGATAATTGAAAAATGAACAAACCACATTTCAGATGTAGGATCGTATAATTATTAAAAAAAAAAAAGAAAAATAGAAAAACAGAGAAAAATTTTCGACACCGTGTAATTTTAGTACTCTTTTTCTATGTCAGGCAGAGGTCTCAAAGTATTCGAAGTTCCTCACATGTGGGGAGCTACTTCAGATTACGGAAGGGCAGCCACTCTCTTTACTGTTTACTGTAGTTTGATTCACCTGGATAGAAGAGCTTTGGATTAACGGTAAGTATCTTGTTTTCGTTTTAATTTTTTTAATTATAGGGAACTCGGGGAGTCATTTCTTGAGCAGCTGAGCGTGACTGACCTTTTACATTTGGAGAAACAACTCGAGGCTGCACTCATACAAACAAGAACAACAAAGGTTTCTTCCTAACTCCAATGTTTATAGTCAGTTGTTCTTTGTGTTTTTTTTCCTTTTCTCTTATTGGGCCTGTATGCTAAAGTTCCTCTTCTAAAAGCTTCAAAGAGTGTGAGTTGATATTTTTGTCCTAGCAACAAAGCATGGTAAGGGAAGTGGATTTCGAGCATCCTCGACTTGCTATACAACCTTCTACATAGGTTCAAGGATGTCCAGTTAGATTTATTATGGTTCATATTTATTTGTCAGACTTGTTTTTTTCTGCCAGGCATGATTTCAAAAGCTTTTAACATTTTTGAAAGGTCCCCTGCTTATTTCAGCCGAAATGGAAAAAGTATAGAGAAAAAAAAAAAAACAATAAATGTGGGATGAATGTTTTCAATTTGTATGCTGGATAGATCTCTTAATTGTTGAGACTGGAAGCAACTTTTTCGGTCATTGAGCATATATCTCAGAAGCCAACTCACTAGTTATGTCCACTCTGAAGAATTATATTGAATCGAGTTTTACTAAAATGTGCTTTGGGGGAATCTAGTTTTTCTGGTTTGAATCTAATTTCTCGTCAACTCTCTTGTCTGCCCTGCCGGCCTTTTTATTTTAATATTCCTATGAGTTGGAGATTACATTGCTTGATAACTATGTACCAATTTGCATGTGTGCAGACAGATATGCTCCTGGCTTCTATAACAAATCTCCATGAAGAGGTATATATGCATTTTCTTGAACTCCCAACTACTAAATTGACAAAAAAAAAAAGGGGGGGGGGATTCAAGCAAGTTTTTCGTTGGATTACTTAGATTGTTTTATGTGATTTTTATGTGTTATTATGACCTTCATTCTCTTTACCTAGTTGAAGTTTTACCCAAGCTGGTAAGAATATTTCTTGTCAATTGTGTAGATCTTAAGAGCAGTAAGCCCCTCATGTGAAAAATGTGTAGACTTAATAAGAAAAATGTTTGAATAATGTTGTGCATGCAGAGAAAACAAGATGAAAACTATAGTAAATGCAATAAAGTATGAAGTGAAAACTATAATAATAATTAATGTACTTACTTGAGATGCCTTTTGATGTGAGCAGGAAAAAATGCTGGCAGAAGAAAAGAGGGTTTTGCAGGAGAAGGTGAGGAGGCATCACTGCTACTTACTTATACACACAGTTACAAAAAACTTGAAAGACAATTGAATTATATCAATTAAAAAAAAAAACTGCTTGATAAAAATAAAAATATTATGATTATCACATATATTAATATAATAATTAGATGAACTTACATACATACAGATTGCAGGTGGAAGCTGCAGCAAGAGTAATAAGGCGATGATGTTAATCGATCTCAACGTGGTTCCACCCGACGACAATCAAACACAAAACCAATCAAAAACATGATTTGCTCCTTCATCTTCTCTCTGACTACTTTCAGACATTGCTCTTCTACTCAGAAAAAAAAGGCAGCAGGAATCAATCTATCAGGCTAGCTAGCTAGCTGATATAAATATATAAGTAAATGAAATTGCAAAATTAGCATGCAATTGAGATTATTAATCCTATGTAATATGAATTTTGGGCAAATTAAGTTACCTGTGTGTCTCTCTCTCTCTAATTCAACTGATAAATGAGTGCCCTGAGAGAGTAATGCATGTATTGTTGCCTAATAAGAAAAAAGTCCCCAGCAAAATATATATATATATATATGAAATTAATATGGAACTGCTGTTTAACTTATTATTGTTTTGCTCTCTCTTTTTCCTTTTTTCTACTTGTAAACTCCATGGCACAACAGACATAAAATGAATGCATTTTGAATGTTCTTTTTTTTTTTTTTTCTTTTTTGGCCAAAAAAGAAAATGAGGCATAATGTTATGAGATTTATCACATGCTTGGAATGGAATATATTATTCCACCGCTTAAACGTGGTATTTGATAACGCTTGACATAATATATATGCTAAGCGGTGGGTATTTTGGAATCAGATAATCTCAAAGTACAAATCCAATGAGATTTTTACAAGCGCTTGACAACATATCCTTTCATTTTCTCTCTTTTTTTTTAGTTTAGTTTAGTTTGCTGAATATCAAAAGTTTTCATTCATTCATTCAAAGGATAAAAATTGCATGGTGATGCTGAATACATGCACATGCACTAGAGGGGGATAGTAGGATAAATCAATATGTTTACCAAAAATTAATGTGAAATATAACGTATGAGGTGTGTATATATATATAGTAATTAATTAATATATGGTGATCGCGTAAGTTTTATTGATTTTGGCAAGCAAAGTGAGGCTGAATTAATCTCGATTGGCGGACCTTTTTTTATTTTTTTATAGAATAAAGAAGCATGAGCTACGTAGTCGACAACAAGGCGCAGCGCATGACGACGTAGTGATTTTTCTAATTTCATACTATAATATACTACTACTAGTATATATATATATGTCTTTTCTTCTTCATTTCTCCAAAATTAAATTAAAATATTATCATACATGTGAAATTTCCATTCCAAATATTTGAATATCTGTTAAATGTAGAATTTTATTATTAGGAACA